CCGCGTAATGGTGGACAAGATGGCAATAAATTACCCGGCATCGCCACGAATATGATGTCTGTCTAAAAGCAACAAAATCGCCTAAGTTTAAAAAAAAAAGAAGCAAGATATAGGCAAAATAATTTTATAAAATCGGCGATTTTTCTCAACATGCATTTTCCGGGAAAAAATACTGGTAGGCCATTCAATTAACCGAAATCATAATGGAAAAGGGAATGATTAATCAATCGAAAAAATATTCGTACAGTTGAGGCCCTAATGTCTAAGCGGTCTAAACGCACTTACTTCTTTCATTTCTTCTTCTTTTTTTTAACTTGGAATGTGCTTTCAAATTGCAGTGCATGAGCTGTGCACCAAAAATATGCTTCTGAACACAAGGAATCTTGCTGCAATGCAACTGTCCACGCAGAAGAATTAATTGTGTCTTGCACGATGCTACCCTGCGACATTCAGTTCAATGCACGTCACTCCTCACAACCTTCGAAGACCCTTCATTATTTGCATAATATTCCGATTAGCCTAGATCTGCCAGTGGAAATGGGCCGATGATCAAATACAACTTCATCAGAGCCAGAAGAATTAGGTCAGTAGAGAGCCAGAATGGTGGCCAGACCAACACCGCTTGAAATCAGACGCCACATTTGTCTCAATCTCGGATCATTTCAACGGGTAATTTAGCATCCACTCAACCAAAGCGCAGCAGTACATAATTGCACACAGTTACTCGTTTATGTTCATAATATACAATTGCTGTCTGCTGTAGCCCGTGGTGTTTTGCCCCCCCCCCATTTACCCCCGAGGCGTGCAAAACCCATGGACTGTATCACAACACACAACAGTTGTTTTGATTAAATACAACAATTACCAAAGCCTAAACAAACTGTAACCCCCCCCAAAAAAATGATATTCAAATGATATTACTTTTGCTCTTGAATATGGAAATTTGCATTAACATACAAACCATAAAGGCACCAAACTACTCTTGAAAATGGCCAAATGAAAATTGAAACTAATGTTAAAAGAGACATTTTTCAAGGACCGCATTAAAACAAATAAAGGAATGCAACCTGACGCCACTTTTTTCTTTACATATCATCTCAATGAAGGTCAGTCATTACAAAAATGATAAGCATGAATTTGGGACTAAGAAACATTTCCAATTTTGTTAGGAAATACTTGAAAAATGTTCTTGACTCTCCACAGACTTTGTACACAACCGCTGAAGTGGTGTCATGTTGCAACATTTTTTTCCCAAATTAAATATTACATTTGCCCTCTAATGAACACTCATGTTGAAGACGGCCTCGCTCTAATTTACATACACGTACACAAGCGTGTTTTGCTAGACGGCAAGAACAATCAAGCCCAGAGTAACAGTACCTGTGTCTCACGCAATAATCATTTTCTGATTAATTAAACATCAAGGTTCTCCTGCCCTAAAGTCACTGGGCTATAATTAACACACGCACAAATAATTAGAAAATATATCCAATATGATGAAAGACCCCTCCCAATTTGAAGGAGCTGCTATTAATAATACACACGTATACATGTACGGTAGCTATCCCGGTAGCAGAAAATGTTGCGTCGTGTCAACACTTGTGCCCATTCACGGATCTGCCCAATACAAACCAACTACATTGTACAACGGAAATTTCCAAAAATGTATCACTGGACACATCTTTGGAGATGACCTTCTCTTATTGTTTTCTTCAAAATGACAGCTTGTCAAAAGGAGTAATTTGACAGGGAGTGTAGTGTCATTACTATCTTTAAACCAAGTAAACTTTTTAACAATAACTTAGTCTGTTTCATACATGTGCAAACGGTCCACTCTGACTCTACCTTTAAACAAAATTACTTGCCGAGAGAAAAAAAAGAGCTGCCAACCAGACCCAAGCAATTGAAAACACCAACATTTTGGATGGGAACTCGCTAATGTGATGTACATCACAACACATCTGCCAACAATGAGTTTTCATTTACAAATTTACATGTGTTTTTGTTTGGAGGGGAGGGGGGGGGGGGGTAAACATTCATATAGGCCTACGTGTAACTCATTCATTTTCTAAATTTTCTTCAGTTTTGTTTTTGACACTTACCATTGATCACACCAGGCTTGAATACTTTTCTTAAGTGAAAATTGTCAATGTTAGGTATTGATCAGTAAAAGTGGAATTTTATTTCTGAGTTTTAAACACCCGGGGTGACCAGGTGCAAAATAAATGAACTGTCAGTCACACCCTTGTGTACAGTGCACAGTGCGGAATTTGACAGCATTGATTATTTACTCAGTCAGGCATTATTCATCAATCGTTCACTGTAAAAAGGTCAGATCGCAGTCAAATCATGAAAACCAAAAAAAAACACTCCAAAATCTAGGTCGCAAGGCATCAATTGTTATTTAAGGGCTTGTTTGTCTCTGTGTACACGGTGTGCGTGTACAGATAAGTGTACAAGTATGCCTGCAAGTGTACAACATGTACATACCCTATATTGTAACATATAAACTTTGAATCAGCCACAAAATATGACAAACACGTAGATAATCATTTGTGATGTTGGGTGGGTTGCAAAGTGACATACCTGTCGTATTGGGCCTACACACAATGTGTGGTGCACCAAACAACAAAGCTCATTTAACCAAAACCGAGAGTCAGTTAACCTAAAAGCCGGACCAAGCACTGCGATTCTAAGTGCAGATCTTGTGGTCATTGTTTTTTCTTAGAATTATTGACTGAACCAACGATCAGTAGTTATTGACACCACTGATAAATTTATATTAACAATGTAAAATGTTCCATTCGACCTTAACTAATTAAAGTCACATTTTGCTATCGAGCTAAATGAGTCATTTGTTGGGAATTTTCATTTGGATTTTCAGGCAAAAATAGGGCCACTTCATCACATCTCTTGGTGTTCCGACTTCCATAATTGTTGAACTAAAGATGGTATCAGCATTCAATTTTCACAGCAGTAATGCTGAGATTGTGCTCTTTTCAAATCTGCAAAAACAAATTTGACCTGGGTCGACAAACGACTCATGAATTCAGCTTGATCGCATCACATTTGTGGGTTTTCATATTCCTAAACGTTTGTGATATCTATCTCATGGCACTGGCTAGAATAGACCCGTGAACGTGGCGTTGTATACAACGCCACGTTCTTGTTTCATTTCGAACCTGGCGAAATCGATCCGACATACATAATTCCGTATGGGTGTTGAGTACTCACCTAGAAATCTAAATTTGCCCGTCCGATTGTTTCGGCCGTGTAATTTCGACGAAATTTGCCCATCAGTAAAGACCCATACGAACGTGTAGAAATTAGATTTTAACCTGACCCTGACAAATAACCCCGGACGCGTCTGAGTCGCTTGGACAGATTGACGGCTGTTTCATGTCGCAACCCCGAAAAAAAACCCCCGCAGACGATTGGCTGCTCGGCTCATCTCGTGTACAGCATGCAGTACGTGTGTGCACACACACGCGGGCGCACGTGCGACCGCGTGCGGTGCGGTGAGAGAGGAAAGGACTTGAAACTTGTCTAAAACGATGTCTGTTTTAGCTGCGACAGTAAACAGCCGTCGAATCATACGAAAATAAAACGCAATGCGCATGCGTCAGTTGGGAGAAAATGGCAGCTAGCAGTAGCGGACGGACTTCATGAACCGGGGCCAGAATTTTCCTCAATTTTCGTCAAATGCAAGTTTTGACGTACAAATAGAATTCAAGACAGCTTCATATGTGAGTACTTATTACATGGGCAAAATAACGTCCAGTGTGTGTAACGGAGGGAGTCAGAGGGACACGTTCGCCAGGTTCGAAATGACATAAGAACGTGGCGTAGTTTACAACAAGCCACGTTCACGGGTCTATGGCTAGAACTACCTTGTAACCAAAATAAATAAATAAAATATATTTGAAATACATGTACATTTTGTACAATGTAGTTTGCAACGTATTTATTTACTTTGCGGCTATTATTACGGTATAACCAGGTCGCTAACGCATTTTTTTAACAACAGCTATCATTACACTTACAGCATTGTAAAAAACACTGCAAATCTATCGCATTCATAACTGCACTTCCACCCTGAATGGTTTTCTTTACTTTTATGTTATATCCTCGCTTACATTGGGAATCAGACCTAAAGCAATTTCGGATTTTATTTCCCTTACAAAAAAAATCTTCGAGCCAAGAATCAGGAAAAAAGACGATATTTACTGCAATCAACTGTAGAATTTGACTTAAAAACAATAAAGGAATAAAACTTGTACTTTAGGGAAAAAAGTAAAAATAAAAATGCCATGCCCGGCTGCATCTCGAGTCTCGACTCGGGTCACCCTGCTCACAATCCAATGTCTTAACCATCGGGCCACACGTGTTCTAGTCCAATGGGGTAAATTATTATCTTACAACATGTATGTATGCGTACGCGTAGAGAAGTGCCCGCACAAGAGCAGAAAAAATGTGGGACTGGTTCATAGTAATGATAACACTTTCATTATTCATCATTCATTGTTCATCATTAAAAATGCAAAAATCAACCTGTCCACTACTTGTCAAGATCATGATCACAATGCGTTGTCTACGACAGATTCCAACTCACCAAACACACTAAAAAAAAAGTTCAAAGGGTCTATAGGCCTACCCAGGTTTCAAGCCATACTGTGTGTTTTGAAAGACTTAGTGATACTACTGTACTATACATGCTATATAACTTATAAGTACAGTTTAAACGTTAGAGTAGAGACTACTACTATTACTAAGTCATGATGTGATTTTGTGAATGATTAGCGCACCAACCACAGATTGCATTGCGTGCCGTGGTTTCTACGTAGACTAAACTAGTGCACGTTGAGCTATCACTAGTATCAGAATTCAGATGATCATGACATGAGGTATAAAAAAACAGCTGCAAAAGATGCAAGGGACGTCAAATCTCCACCAGCAATCATCATCATCTTAAATAAAAAACGACCGGACCTCTAACTTACCTGACTGTGCAACACACGATGAGGCTAGAAAAAGGAGCAAACCGAGTGAAGATAACGTTCCCATTTTGATCCAAACGGAAGAGCGATCGACCCGTTAATAGGCTGGTTTACGTACGCCACGCACATTGGTACGTACGTTCACGTTGAAATTCGCAATTGTGTCAACAACGCGGCGGCAGTCAGACGTGTGTGCTCGGCTGGGTCACGTGATTCTAATTTTGGAGGCACAATCAAAAATGCTGAAGTTTTAACATTACAAACATCACTGTCAACTCATCTTTGCCTGTATTTTTTTCACGTTTTTTTTCCCCAGATGACTCAAGCTGAAACGTGTTTCTGAAAACAATCCGTCAAAAAAATCCGTCAGAAAAATGACATGGTATTGTGTTCCTTGGGCTTGACTTCCTTCCTCCATGGAACGTAATCAACGGATATGGATGCGGAGCAACTTCTGGTGGGAATAAAATGGTGAGGGAGAGTCCCCCCCCCCCCCCAAGAAAAACTATTTTATTTAACATGACATGTTTCTGTACGTTTCCACAGATTTTTAGCGCATATTGTCGTGTTTTTCCCCGAAACATAATATTTTAAAGTGCATCTCATTCGTAAAACAAAGAAAGGGAAAATAGGAAGGAGACACCTCACTTTTTATTGTTTCGTTGAGAACATTTTTATATAAAGGGAGGATGCTGAAGGGGGTGGCAATGCCAATGTCTTCGCCTCTTTGTTTTTAAAACCGCATCCCGAAAAATTTGGAGGTCTTATTAAAATTAAGTGGACACTTTCAACAGCGCCCTCTTTCGATAGGCGAAGATGCAATCGATTTGTCTTTCATAACGAGTAGATGAGGCAGTAGCAACTTAAAGGGGTGCACCGTTGTTCGATTTAAGTTCAGTGGCCATGCATGTGAGGGTATGAAGATCGATACAAAAAACAAGGCCAAGTAGATTGGAAGGGTCCTGGTTTGAGAACGCTGAAAATGAGAACACAACTCGGCAAATTTTGAATTGAAATCGAGATGTATAGAGTGTTGTTACATCATCAGGTTAGTTGTTTAAAAAGTACCCTGGCCCTTTTATTGCTTTAAAGGGAAAGAATGACTTAATGACCAATGATATACTCTACCTTTAAGGGAAAATTGCCAGTATTTTACTTATTAAATGAATATAAAGTGTGGGAGATAGGAGACTCTACTTCTTAATTAACGGAACTTGGCAGGATATTTTTTATTTTTATTTTTTATTTTTATATTGTTCTTGATGTAAAATCAAAACCCAAGTCCAAACCGTGGTCTATGATTAGCGAAACGTTGGTATAAAAGTTTAACCTGAATATACTTTTTAAGTCCCACTCATAGAGCTGTACATGGTCCCACTTGATACTTAAAAACGACATTCACAAAATGTAGTCGAAGAGATAATCCACATCGAGAAAGAAACATTTGCCTATAATAGTCCTCTGCAATTTGTGCCTACATACTCTCCTAATTTACCATAGTTAAAAATAATTTATTATTAAAAATTTACACCATTTATTATTAGTCTAAATACTACTCAACAAACGACACAGCTGAAATTAATGCTCAAAGCATGGCTTAAAATAAGTCAAAACAGCTCTGAAAAGTTGTCAAAACATGTCTGAAAATTAGTATGACACTCGAAACTAGCGCTAATGATAATAAAAATGCCTAACTACTAAGTGCCCATAATGTGGTCTATTGAATTCTGCCTAATTAGTATGCCACTCGATACTGCCTAACTGTTAAGTGCCGATACTGGTCTATTGAATTCTGCCTAACTATTAAATGCCGATATCAGAGGCCTATTGAATTCTGCCTAACTATTAATTGCCGATATAAGTGGTCTATTGAATTCTGCCTAACTATTAATCGCCGATATTAGTGGTCTATTGAAATCTGCCTAACTATTAAGTGCCGATATTAGCAGTCTATTGAAATCTGCCTAACTATTAAGTGCCGATATTAGTGGTCTATTGAAATCTGCTTAACTATTAAGTGCCGATATTAAGGGTCTATTGAAATCTGCCTAACTTTTAAAGTGCTTTTGAATCGTGGTCCACTGAATTCTACCTAACTATTCTGCCCCAGTATCCGCACTTATTTGTTAGATAGATTTCAAAAGACCTACTGTCTGCATTTTTATCATGAGTTGGATCGATAATCCAGTAGATAAATTCAGTAGACCACTATCGGCACTTAAAAGTCAGACAGAATTCATTGGACCACTTCTGCGTCCGAAACGTATCAGTAAGTCAATAGTTCGGCAGAATTCAATAGACCACTATCGACACTACAATTATTAGGCAGAAGTAAAGAGACCACTATCCGTACTTAATAGTATAGTTAGGTAGATTTCAAAAGACCACTACATCGGCACTTAATAGTTCTAGTTAGGCAGAATCAAAATACTACATCTGCACTTACAGTTGGGCACCACAGCTGCCCGCACTTTATAGTTAGGCAGGATTCAATAGACCACTAGCACCAAAAATGCGTCGACGCATCGATGGAAATTGACCTTCTTTTATTTTTATTTTTTTTTCAAAATGACAGCAGACTGGGAAAACATAATTTCACAGGGAGTTTTGTACCATTACCATCTTTAAACAAAGTGTGTTTTTAACAGTAATTTCGTCACTTACTTTATGGATAGCTATAGCTGCAAATGATGTACTGACCTTTAAAATTGGAAGCGCGTGACATGAACTACATGCTCGTTTTGCAATTTTTGTCCAAACAGCGATTAAATGGCAGATGAAACAAACGTGTGGTATTGAGATTTGAGTTCTGGTGGTCGCAATGGAGTTTAATTTCCCTTGTTCTTTAGCTTTAAATTGCTCCTTTTCATGGGACAACATAATAGGTTAGGTGCACCCCGCCGGCGGTAAATGGACATGGAGAGAAATTCGGTGGAAAACAGAGCCGACTTCGACGAGAAATTTCATATCAGCAACTCGGAATCCAGCAGCAGTTCGGAGCGGGGAGACGGCGGGAGCTCCACGGGTAGTTCGTCGTCGGCCGACGGGGATGACCACACGCACTGCGACTCCAACAGCACGAGTGAAGAGGGTCGCCTGAGGAGACTTTTCCACACGTGTGACAGCGACGGGGATGGCTTCATAGACGGGTATGTTTTTGACATTTCCAGAGCTTTGTGGATTCGTCTTAGGTGAAATCACAAGGTGGAGTGAACATTGATGTGTATACTGGCAGATAATTGTACCCTAGGCCTTATTTATTTCGTGGCCAACATAAACAAGAATGAATCGATCATCTAAACTAAAAAAAAATATTTCGGAAAGAATGTTGCAACCTGACGCTGCTTTTTTCTTCATATATCATCTCAATGAATTCTTTCCCTTTTTTTTGTACTTGTAAATGTAATTATGGCCAACGATTTTTCTGGATTGAGGAAGAAAAAGGAACGGAATTAACAGAAGTCCTTCTTTGAAACATAGGCCCCTACCGGCATGACCGGTAGTCATGCTAGGGTAAACCCATGCTAGTACTAGTTAGCTTGGAAAAAATGTTGCAACCTGACACCACTTCAGCGGTTGTGTACAAAGTCTATGGAGTGTCAAGACATTTTTTTAAGTATTTCCTTACAAAATTGGAAATGTTTCTCAGTCCCAGATTCATGTCTTATCATCATTTTTGCAATGACAGACCTTCATTGAGATGATATACATGTACCGGTGTGAAGAAAAAAGTGGCGTCAGGTTGCAACATTGTTTCTGTTAGCTTTTGTGGAGAAGATTCTGTTTTGGGCCTAAATGTATGACAGCAAACTTTGTTCAGTCATTTCTCAGTTGGTCCAATGGAGGAATTCCTTCCTCCAAAGCACTTTTGAGGTAATATGGCAAAAAGAACATGTGTTGCTGAGTACGCATGCCAATCGAAAACTTTTGTGCTTCCTAGTCTGCGTTCATATGCGCTCGCGTCTAGCAATGCGTATTCCTTTTGTCCCGTGAACGAGATGGCCCTTAACCGTGAAAGTACATGTAATTCATTGAACATGATGAATCGGGAAACGGAACACAAGTTACATGTACACATTACAATCGTAACCAAGAAACTATGTACATTTGTGGCTCATGAAAATATTTGGTTATGTCAATTTTTACACTTTGTGTGAATCTAGGTATTTATTTGTGATTTTTTTTTTGGGGGGGGGGTGGTTAATTTTTTATGCTAAATGTGTAGACCTATGTATTTCAAAACCTACGTACACACTGTTCACTGCACACCACACTATTGAACAGCAACAGTTGCATTATTGCTGAACCAGTGCACGGTCTGAATAGAGAATCCCCACTCCAGATTATCTGTCTGCTCCTTTCACTGATTCACGTTCCCCAAGAATCCTTTTGTGTTGGGAACCCTGAAAGTATACAGTTTGGGCTTAAGGAGGATGCCTATCACTTGTGTGCTAATCGCAGAGATTACCTCAGTAATACAGGCACTAAATATCAACTTGGCAGCGCTTAATTAAAGGATCGTGTACATTGTGATTTAAAGTGACATTATTGTGTCAGTTGTCAAGGCATTTTGTCAAGATATTTAATTGAAAAGGGAAGACATCAGGCGTGCATGGCTGTTACTACTACTTTATGTACTAAAAATAATAATGAAAATGTAGGCCTACGCTATAGTGCCGATATCAGCCAATTAAAATGCGCTTGGCGCAACATTTGCTTTTGCTGTAATCTACAGAAATTAATGGATTTTGGGGGTTAGTATTTTAGTGAATGTTGTTATGTCCTGACTTGTTTTGAAGTTTTGTGTTTGTAGATGCTGGAAAAAAACAAGGAAAAAAATACTGTTCTTGTCTGGTTCCCTGACTCTTACTTTAGACGAAACGGAGCATTGTCTGGGAATTGTCAGGTCAGGGAACCAGACTAGCTGGCTTGCACCCGTTCACAGAAGTGTAACCAATTGCAAACAGAATGTGGACTAACTACATGTATACTTGGTGTAAATTGGGTACAATGTTTGAAAAAAAAGTCAATTTTTTTAAACGATGGTCAGCCGACCATCGTTGGAAATTGATACAAAAATTCAACTTTCCTTAAAAAATGACAGCACACTAGGTGCCATGTTTTCACAGGATGCTTGAGACTACATGTATTATTCACTTGCAGTCAAGGAAGGTATATATTTCATAATAATTTGATAGTTTTGTTTTTGATGTTTGCAAATGTTGTGTGTTACCTTAAAATTGGTGATGGTTTGATTCCCATTTGAAAAGTGACTGTATAGATGACACACAGTTACTTTTTATATTTTTTTTATAATTATGTACGGTAGCTGTCTCTGGTATAGTAGGGCCTACTGACATTATTTAGTCTGGAGGAGGATTTGCCTCAGGATTCTGGGTGGGCTTGCAGGAGACATTTGCAGGATTTGTTGGTTCAGCACCATGACACCTTTGAATTGTGCAACACCAAATAGGCGTGAACGACCGTCAATAGAGGGCTTATGGTAGAGAAACCATCACCGCCTTAAAAAAAACTTTACTTGTTAGCCTCAAGCCAAAAAGGTTCTTAGGCCGTAAAAAAAAAACATGGTAGGGCCTATATTTACGTTAACGCACTAAAAATTAGGCCTGTATGAAGGTAGGAAAATAATTTTATTTTGTAACTTCTTTTAACGTTTGTCTGTCAGTGTTTTATGCTTTCTTTTGTTTAATTTAGGATACCTTTAACGGTATTCTGTTTAATTAACCTGTTTGTTAATTAACCAATAATACACACACAAACTCACAGATAGGGAAGACTTTTTTTTCAACATTTTTATATTTTTGACCAAAAAATCTGGCAAAAGTTTTAAGGTCAGCAATACATGTATGGTGATAAAACAATTCAGGTAAGTTGGGTTACCATAAAAAAAAAAATTGTTTTCGGCCTTAGAAAACTTCTAGGTTACTGCCACTGAGTAAGTGATAATTTAATGTAAAATTGTGTATTTAATGTTACATTGCCTTGGAATCTGAACAGCATGCACCTTATTGATTGATGCTAAAGATAAAAAGGTTTTCACTACATTTTTAAAAATTATTCGAATACATTTTGTACACGTGTGTATGTTATGATACAAATCGTAACAGTCACATCAAATAATAATACTTGATGATGCAACTTCACAAATGCAAATTTGAGCCGATTCATCAATGCCATTGTGTCGTAGCCTTCGGCCGTTCAGTTATATTCATGACTGCCGCGCATTGCCCACCCCAGAAATTATGATCAAACCAAAAAACGATCCCCCTCGTACTTATAAAAACAGGCCAAGCCATGCAACATCCACGCTCAAATTGCCAGGGCACAGGTGAACAAAATAGTCTGGCGCCCCCGGGGCAACACAGTCGCAATATTACGCCACACGCTTCTATACACTTGCTATGGAAATCGGAGACGTGGAAACCTTGTAGATTTTGACAACGCTTGCCGACATGCGATACAATGATTAGATCCGCCTTTGGGGGGAAGTTCATATTTTTGGGTATGACATGTGCTATTCGATAAGAAAAAATTGCATTTTTCAAACTCTGATTATGAAGATGTACTTGCTAGAGGATGGCAACATGATAAATTTATAATGTACAAGATATGTTTATCAGAATATCTTGATGTATGCGTACATGTTTGTATAAACAAGAACACCATTGCATTTTATATTGATAATTTGAAGACAATATACCAATTTATTATGAATTACTTATTATTCAAAACTGAAACCAACTCTGTCAAATGAAATACCGTAAACTTACAACACTGTTAAGCGATAAGTTTGCTAAATTCCTAACCCCCTAGTACTAGTAGTTCCCCAGGACTACCCTGCTAAATCCAACAGAGTCCAACGGCTACTCATATGACTTTCCTGCTCAATCCAACACAGTCCCTCACAACCCAACTTGCCAAGTTGTGGGGTACCTGCAAATATACAATGACAGGCATGCTCAATCCAACAGAATCCAACAGTGCCTTATTTTTCTGTTTGCTGAGACACTGGATCCAACCACATAGTCCAACTTGATGTTATTTACCAGCACCCAACAGAATCCGACTCTGAATGTTTTCAGTTGCCTGTTGAATCCAACAGATTTCAACAGGAATATACCGGTACAAGGGGTTTACTGCTCAATCCAACAGGACCCCACGGAAATGTAAAATAGTTGGATCCTGTTGGATTGAGCAGGGTTGGGGTTTTAACTTAAATTAATGAATGTACAATTTATGTAAACTTATGTACCCATTTTTATTGCACGCTGTCAAGCACTCATTTAAAGCCATTTTTTTATTAATTTCCTTCAGAAAAAATAACGATTTAAATGCTGACGTGTGGATGACGGATATTAAAATCTTTTTTTTTCATTCTTAAAAAGAACATTTGAAAACCAGGGTAACAAGTGCCACCTGTATGTAGTTGGCAAAGGTGTTCAAAGGCTCAACCACTGTTGAAACTTCTTTGAATTTTCATTGTTAGCACCCTATCATGTATACTTGTTCGTTTATAAGCACACAATGGATGCCCATTTATTTTGGAATGGCTCTAAATCTGTCAGCCAAACCATCCACCATTCCAACCAATCACCTAAAACACTTATCAGTCAATCAGTTGGTCAATCAATCAATTACAGGCAGACATTAATCCTTTAATCAATCAGTGAACCTAATCCATCAAGTCAGTTGTTAGCTTTCAGAGTCCCGAGTTAATTCATAGAGCTAGGACCTAGCTCTATAGTTAATTTAAGCATGAAGGTAGGAAGGCAGCTTCTCAGTTGTGTAGAAAAAAAGGTTATCTGAGACATGTACATGTAGATATGTATCTTTGAGCTAAGGGAATTACCAGTACAGCTAGTGGGCCTGGGACTAAAGCTCTCATATTGCACCCAACATTTAGGTTTAAAGGTATACAACATTTGCTTTTGCTGTAATTTTCAGAAATGGATGGATTTGGGATTGGTATTTTATAGCAAAAATTGTTACACTGACCTGTTTAAACTAAGTTTTGTGTTCATAGATCTATGCTGGAAAAACCAAGAAAAAAAATGCTGTTCTTGTAGTCTGGTTCCCTGACCTTACTTCAATTGAAACAGAGCAATAGGCGTCTGGGATTATTGTGTCA